ATCTAGCATTCTTCTATGGGTCCTCTACACACATGTGCATAAGAAAGCACATCTATCTACACACCCACATGCTTGCTCTTTCTCTCTCTCTCTCTCTCTCTCTCTCTCTCTCGCTCTCTCTCGCTCTCTCTCTCACACACACACACACACACACACAAATGGAGTTGTCGTCTGGTGTGGGTCTCGCCTGGGTGTTCCTGCAGAAGTTTGTGCAGTCCCATTGTAGAACCTGCCAGTCCCCAAAGAACCACACAGCATTGTGCAGCCTGGTGCCTTCCCTTCCATGCCAATTCTGGGCTGGCCTTCTAACTTGTTTTAACAAACAGAGTACAGAAGTGATGTAGTGCAGGTGCCAGCTCTAATCTTTGAGAAGCTGGGTAGCTTCCACTTTTGTGGTTTTGGACACTCTGAGCCATTATGTAAGAAGTTTAGCTGCCCAGATGGAGAGGTCACATGGGGCTGAAAGGCCCTGAGACTACATAGAGAAGACAGGCAGTGTTTCTGGTGCCCTAGTTGTCTTCATATGACTCCCAATTCTGCTGCCATCTAACTGCAACCTCATGAGAGACATCAAGTAAGACCAGCAGAAATGCATAGCTGAGCCCAATCAATTTAAAGAACTCTAAGAGATAATGAAATGATTGTTTTAAGCCACTAAAATCTGGAGTGTTATGATTCTATAAATAATTAAAATATCACTCTATATTTGAATTGCCTACTAGCTTTGTTAGCCCCACTACACTCCTTCCTCTGTGAGAGCAGGGGCCATATCCTTTTATTTATTCTTGAGAATTTCATACATGTATACAATGAAATAAATCCCCACTTCATTCTTCCAACTCATCTGTTTCTCAATTTCATGTCTTAAAAAAATTTTTTTTATAACCCACTAAGTCCAATTAGTGCTATGCATATGTGCCTAAGTGTGAGGCCATCCACTGGGGCATGGGAAACCTACCAGTGCCATATCCTCAAAAAAACAATGCTTCTTCCTCCTCCAACCACCACCAGTAGCTTCTCAGTACGGAATGAGGCCTGGAGAGCACCTCCCTCATCTATACTGGGATTTTTGACTGGCTTGATCTTGGGTAGGTGATATACAGGTAACCACTGCTATTGTGAGTTCATGAGTGCAATGGCCATGTCACATCCAGAAGACAGCACTTCATGGCACTCCCCTTCCTCAAGCTCTTACATTCTTTCCACCTTCCCTTCCATGATGTTCCGAGTCTCAGGAGGGAAAGTAATAAAATTGTCCCATTCAGGGTTGGTAACTCACTTATTCTCCCTTAGTCTCTGCATTTTGACCAGTTACAAATCTCCTCATAACACCTGCCCACTGCAAAAATGAGCTTCTCTGATGTTTTACTTTTTTGAGACAGAGTCTCTCAAGTTGCCTGGAACTCAATATATACCCCAGGCTGGCATCAAACTTATGGCAATCCTCCTTCAGCCTCCAGAGTGCTGGGATTACAAGCATGAGCTATGATACTGGGCCACATCCGTTTTTTAAATTATTTTTATTTTTGTGTATGTGTGTATTGCCTGCATGTAGATAAGTGCACCTGTGTCGTGCAGTGCCCATGGAGGTGAGAAGAGGCTGTTGGATCCCCTAGAAATGGAGTTATGGACAACTGTTAGCTGCCATGTGGGTGCTGGGATTCAAAACTGGGCCTTCTTCAAGAACCAGTGTTCTTGACCGCTGAGCCATCTCTCCAGCCCAACCATATCCATTTTTAAGTTGTTATAGTCTCAAGACATTTCCTAGCACTGAATAAACTCATATATTTGATTAATGCAAATTAAGAGTATGTACAAGAATGAAGGCAACAACAAATGTCTACAATACTCCCTGTAGCATGTGTACATATTACTAGGGCTGATTAACTGGGTACCTGGACAAGAGATTCTTAAAGATGACAGCTTACCTTTGTAGAGGGATTGAATCAGCTTGACTTTGGGTCACAATGGCTGATGGCTTGGCACCTTAGCAGATTCTGACAAAGCCAAATGAAGGAAACAAGACTGCCATTCCAATAGTGCTCCTGCAGGTTGCCCCGAACAGATATAATGTGGGGATTCTATCTTCCCTCCACACTACCTGTCACTCAAGTTGTCCTTGATGTTCCCCAGTTTCTAGGGCTAAGGTATGTCATGGGGTTTGTTGTTTTAGTCAGGGTCTCACTATATATATATGATTGGCCTTGAACTCATGATCCACCTGCTTCAGTCAACAAAGTCCTGGGATTAGAGATGTGTGCCACCACCCCTGGCCATAATGCCATTTTGTACATGGGAGCAAGTATCTTGGCCTCTCTTTCAAAACCTTCCAACTAGCTGCAAAGGGGCTGGACCTCGATGAATGTATGCAGAATGAATTAGTTTCTGTTCAAATCAGTAATCCCTCGATTAGGGTCTGGTGCTCTTGGCTAGTATGGTCAAGTCCACAGGCATTTTGTAAACATACTCTGTGGGTTGACAGTTCATGCCAAGTCCCGTGTCAGACACAAAATGGGAAAATGCCACCCCTGCCCTGAGGGAGAGAGCTGGGGAGACTAGACTTACACAGATGAGATAATTAAAACAACAGGACAACATATAATTACTGCTAAACTGTAGTAAGAAATTAAGTGCTACAGGGACTGGGAAAAGTAGAAATGTAGTGAGGGCTCCAACAACTGAGTTGCAGAGTTGGGATCAGGCTGAGCCTTAAAGAAGGAAACCAAAAAGGTTAAGAGGAAGAAGAGCTGGAATTCCAGGAGGAACAACAGACCCAAGCCAGCACACTTACTATTTTATTCTGAGGTAGAAACACAAAGAATATGAACAGTGGCTACCCCAAAGCCCAAGGTAAGGACACTGATGAATAGTTCCCCAATAATCAAGCTCCTGGATCTTCAGTCTTCTCTCCTTGCAATGCCTTTTCTCCTTTTCTACCTGATAAACTTACTCATGTTTAAAGGCCCAGCTCAAATGCAACTTGAATCCTTCTACCATATATCCCAAACCCACTGTTCTTCTTTCTACTGGAACACTATATATACATTTGCCTACTCATCTTCTCCACTATTGCAACTAATAGTAATTACATTTACTGACCCTTACTATGTACTAGGACCTATGCTGAACTTTTATGTATTTGTCTCACAACTGTATGAGGTATTGTTCTCCTTATATTGTGGATGAAGAGGCTCAGTGTGGTTAAGAACCCTGCAAAGGTAACACAGCTAGAAAATTAGAAGGGTGAGATTCAAACCAAGATTTGTGAGACTAGAATCCACTTTTTTCCCCCTTCTTTTCATTAGTACTAGAGCTTGAGCTCAGGGCCTGTACAAGCTAGGCCTGGGCTCTAACACTGAGAGCTTCAACCTCAGCCCTACAATCTTCTCTCTTTCTTTCTCCCCTCCTTCCTCCTTTCTGAGACAAGGTCTCACTACATATAGCCCAGAATGGCTGGAAACTCATTGGGTCTTGAATGTCTGACCCTCCTGCCTTAGCCTCCTCACCACTGGGATTATAGGCCTGTGCCATCAGGTCTAGAACTATGTAGTTGAGAATGACCTTGAACTCTTAATCCTCCTGCCTCTGCCTCCAAAGGCCTATGTCACCATATTCCATTTGTCTACTTTTAATTTACTGGAGTCATGTATTTCTGGAGGCCACAAATGCTCTTTATCAATCTGTCTTCTCGGATCCTAGGATGGTGGCTGACATATGGCTTGAGATTGTTTAACAGATAAATACAACTTTGCTAACACATGCCTGGTCTAAGAGTAGGTACACTTGGTACTTTTATCCCAAATAGAGACTTCCACCCACCTAAAAGTCACATATGCGAGGAAAGAGAGGAAGTCTGAACACCTTACTTTTTCTCATAGAATTCCAGTGTGGGTAAAAGTGGAACTAGTCTATAAAAACTAGCATTGGCTGGAACCAAGTAGGAGGACTCTGACTGAACAGGTCCTGTGAATCCTCTTAGGGAGTTTGAAAAGAGCAGCAACTCAAGAATCTTGGCCTGTCAGACCAGGAAAAAAGTCAATATTGTTTCATCTAAGACTACCCTTGCAGAGACCCTGACAACAGATTATCATGGTGAGGGGACAGAAAGACAGCTCTGCACTGTCACTTTCAGCAGCCTGAGGAGTTCTGTTATTTTAGGGACTTGGACTCAGGCCAAACCAGGATTCCTGGTTTAGAGGCTGAAATTTTCAGGACTAGCCAGTAGCAGTTGGAGATTTTATTAATGATAACTTTAATATGGGCTTAAGAGTGAGGGTTAGAGAGAGGTAGTAATGGAAACAAACTAAGATATACCTAAATCTAAGTATGAACTCCTTAAGGAAGAGTCACAATTGTCCTAACATTAGCCATATATACCACTTTGGTGGTTAAGTGACATCTCATAGTTGCTAAGGAATCCCCCCCCCCCCTTTGATAAGTGAACTTACAGGGTGGCTCTGGAAATGCCTTGGCTAGAATTAGAATCTAGTAATGTAAAACCAAAAGCCACTAGGATTGCACAATGGGTTTAGTACATATCCTTTCCCTGTAATTGGAGTTTCTAAACGAGATTCCTAGAAAAACACAGGCTTATGGCTGAGAAGAGAGAAAAGGCCTTAAACAATTGTTATTTGTGCCGGAATTCTTCCTTGGCTGCTGAGGAAAGCTTTGTGAGGGGCTCCCTCCTTTCTCTCGTCCCTGTAATTTTTCTCTGCTTTTCTATCCTGCCTCAGGAAGTTGCCGGCCTAAATGCGGAGACAAAACTGGGCCAGATCTAGAACCTGGGATCAAAACTTGCCCTGGGCAGTTCTCACGGGTCCCACGGGCTTGCACTTAGGCAAATGGCCTTGGGAGACACGCCGGAACAACCGCTTCTTGTTAAGCTCACCTCCCGTACCCACACCTTGGGCCTGCACCATGCCCTTGCAGCTCTCACTCCGCCAGCGAAAATCCGCCCCACCCTCTACTTCCTCCCCGGAGCATCGTCCTTCCGGCGGGGCTCCTTGCTGATTGGCTAGCTGAGGGTTGGCGTGTTGCGGCCGCTGGGGACTTCTCAGCGGCCGCTCCGGCCCCTGTCGCGTGCTTTAGCCTCACTTTCTTGGCTGGGAGCATTCTTTGGTGCTGGCCACGACATGTGGCGCCTGACGGGACTCCTGGGCCGAGGTAAGGGGCGTCCGCAAGGCGACTTCCTGCCAGCAGCAGACACGGTCCAGAAGCTGGCCGCAGCGCGGGGAGCCTGCCAAAGCGGTAGTGGGCGGGACTAGAGCCTGAGGAGCGGGGCCGGGGCGGGGCTTCACCCCTGTCTTCTGGTGACGTTGGAATTTGAAATGTGGTAGAGCAAAAATAAGAAGGTGGGGCTTAGATCCGAGGAGATGGGTGGAGGGGAGGAGTCTATGAAAGGACCCGAGGCTTGGAGTGGAAACCAGTGAGAGGAGGAATTTCGAGACTAAAGAGCGTGTATAGTATGGGAGTATGTGTTTAGGTTTATGGTCCTATAACAATGGCATCAGAACTACATGGGAGAACTTTTTCAAAATGTATACTCTCTATCCTGAGAGCTCTTGCTTTATTAACTCTGGGGTGGCACCTTGGCAATCCTACTAAGCTAAAGATTTTCTTATGTCCCCTGGTTTAAGAGCCACTGCAAAGGACTGGAGAGGTGAGATTCCTAGTACCCATGTCCAAGGGTCACAACTTCTTGTAACTCCAGCTCCAGGGGATCGATACCTTCTTTCAGCCTCCATGTGCACATACCCATTCACAGACATACACATATACACATAATCAAAAATGATGAAAATGTTTCCTTTTTAAAGAAAAAGAACCACAGTAAGGGCTGGGAGAAGGACTCAGTGATAAAGTACTTGCCTGGAATGCTGGAGGTCCTGGGTTCAATCCCCAGCACCACAAAAGCAGTACATAGGCAGATACCAGTGATTCCTGGGTTCCTGGGGCAAGGCTCCTTCATGGACTAGAAGGAGGATTTGGGGGACCATCTTCACCTCAGTCCATCTCTGTTGGAATGACTGATTCTTGTTACTCTGCACAGCTCTTCCCCGCCTACTGGGACCTGGTTTCCGGGGGGTGACACCCAAACCTCCCAGTCCTGATGGGCCTCGGACAACCTCTTCTACCCTACTGGTCCCTGGACCCAGTTTTGACAGGTAAGAGACTGGCATCTTTCATGCATGTTGCCTCCTTCTGTTCCTCTTTTGGACAGAACTTGATAGCCTCTAATTGCATCATCTAGGTCAGGCCCACATGGCCCAAGGAGCAACAGGAAGCCAAAGTGCCATGGATGGAAGGATGCCTTCCATTGGATGTCTGCTCGTGTCTCCCCAAACACCCTATGGGATGCCATCTCATGGGTAAGCCTTCCCTAGTCTTGTCCCATACCTTCAGCATAGATAAGAATAATCCTGAATGAAAGAGCAGCCTAGTCCAGAAATGAGGGTAAGGCCATCATTGTGTCCACGGGGTAAGGACCACAGTTTTCATAGAATGTTGCGGTCCCTCCAGGCTATCCCATGCATTTATTCTCCATTCAGTAAACATTTATTTAACACCTCTGAACTAAGCACTAGGGACAAAGCAGAGAACAACAGAGGTATAATTCTTGCCTTCATGGAGTTTACCATACATAATAATAAATAGCTGATAAATTGTATGACTTACTAACGTGAACTGTTAAGCACGCATTATCTTTTTTAATATTTACAAAAATCTTGCAAGGGAACTGCAACCTTCATTTTATACAGAAGGAAACTCATACTTTGAAATATTAGTAACGTGCTTGAGGTCACATAACTCTTAAGTAGAAGAACCAGGTTATACTCTGCCATTCAGGCTGTACCATGGCTGCTCCACTTACTGTGATTTGTAAAAGCACCTAATGCAGAGCCTAATATATAATAGTTGCTCATTATATATTTGTTGAACCTGATCACTAAGGGATGATGAGTATGAACATTAGGTCTAATATGGCAGAATCTTTGCCCTTCAGGCAAAGTTCCAAATAGAAAGTCTGCTGATAAGGTATTCTGAATGAAGTGGCCACGTATATCACTCTCGTGTTTGCACAGTCCGTTCTTCGTACTTCATGCTGTACTCTGAGCAAGTGACTTGATGTAACTAAGTCTCACTTTTCTTAGCTATAAACTGGTGTCATCAGCAGAGCTGAACCTGGGGTGTCTCTATGACATGGACATGGCTCTCTGGGTTTCTGTGGACTAGGAACATATTATTCTCTAGAGAAGGGAATATTTTTCTGTTTTATCAAAGAGCTGAGCCCTAGGCCAATCCATACCTATTCCTTTAGGAAACTGGGCCTCGATTCCAGAGGTCCTGATGCCATCTTTAAATTCCGTTACTAGTACCCATGCAGAGGGGCCTACAGGCAAGCTTTCTCCAGTGCCATGTCACTTGACCCTGTGTCCATAATGTTGGTGCCTTATCTTCTTCTGACCTTAGCTCGCCATCACCCTCATGGGAAAGCTTTCCCTGACTCTTTCCTCTCAAACTCTGTGTAACCCTCTGCTTTGTTTTCTTGATGTTTAGCATAATTGCTAGTTATTGTATTTGTTTCTCAGTGTATTGGGGTTTTGTCTTTCTCAACACAAGATACAAAAGTCATGAGGGCAGAGACAATGTCTGTCTTATTGGCTATCATGCACAGTGCCTGTTGCAACAAAGAAATATTAGGCCATCTCTTCCCAGCACAGCACAGGAAGATAGGGGCAAGCAAGCAGACATTGGGATAGGAACTAAGTAAGGTCCTCTGTAGACTGTCAGCCTTTATAAGCTTCTACTTGTGCATATGTGACGTAGTTTGGTTGGGGACTCTGACATGTCCATATATTTTAGGCTAAGCCCCACCTTACCACAGTATCTTTTGCCTACCTAGACCTGTTCAGTCACTCACTGGCACAAGCAGCTATTAAGCTCCTACTCTCCCTTAACACTGCCCTTGGCTCTGGGGAAATACCAGAATACCTTGGTCCCTGCCTCTGTGCTGCTGACAGACAAAGCAGGTGTGACAGACCTTTGGTAAATGATTGTAGAGGACTGTGAAGTACCAAAGGAGAAGTTCTAGTGATGTGAATGTGCACAGTGTGGAGCTGCTCCAGCTTGTCAGGAAAGGCTCCTGAGGAAATGTTGATTGAACCGATGGCCACGTGTGTGAAGCTGTTGACCCGTGAGGCACTGTGTCCCTGATGTGCTTCTCTCTTTGCCAGGGCACTCTGGCCGTACTGGCCCTGCACCTGGCAAGGCAGATCCATTTCCAGGCATCACTGGTAGCAGGACCTCAGCCAGCTGAAAGCTGCTCTTGGCGCAGTCCCCTGTACCGCTTCCTCTCCTTTCCCTGGTGGCACCTGCACTCCTGTGAGTTCTTGATCCCCAGGGTGAGTGGGCCAGGCTGGGAGTTTCTCTGGGCCAGGAAGCCTTTCTGGCCACACCTCAGGAAAAGAGCCATCAGCAGCTCCTTGCCTTTCCTATCCGAAGTCAGAGGAAGGGGAGTGTGGGGAAGTGCTATCCACCCAGGGTGTGAGCCACACCTGCTCTTCAGTGTTTCTCCTTGCCTTTCCATCACCTCCTAGGGAGGGAGCACCTAGGTCCAGGCTACTTTAGACCCTGGGTGTGGCTTCCTACCCAACCCTCAACCAGTTAAGTTCAGTCCTTCAGTCACTCATCAGTCATGGAATATTGAATTTGTATTCTGGGGTATGTGCCAAAGGCACATGCCTCATGATTGAGACTCTGGAGTCACTGTGAGAGTTCACACCCCACAACTGCTGCATACTGTGCTTGTGTCCCTGAACAAATCAGTTTTCATTTCCCCACACCTCAGTTTCTTCATCAGTAAACTGGGGTAATAACAAATGGCATCACAGGGGTTCCTTGGGAAGACCAAATGAGCTAATATGTGTCAAGGACTTAGAACAGTGCCTTGCACATAGTATACACTTGGTCATTATTCACTGAAGTATTAGTTCTTGTCCTATGATTATAGTCATTGTCAGTGTTACCGTTAAGCAGAGAGCTAGGTGCTGGGCTACAATAGTGAATGAGGTAGACACTCCCTTCCACTGAGAGAATTCAAGCAGAGTAGTGATTTGTGCTCAGGATGGGAGCTCAGCATAAATATGGGCCCCAGGAGACCCCTGTGGAGGGAGGTCAGCAAGGCAAGTGGAGGAGAAAGAGTGAAAGGAGGGAGCTTCACAAGGCTTCCTCTAGCCTCCCAAACCTTATGTACTGACTTTGGCAAACCCAGCCCCAGCTCCCCAGGAGGAGCCCATCCCCTTCTGACCTGACCCTTCTGGCTGGTTCCTTCCAGCACTGCGGAGGCATGTTCTTCCCAGGCCTGATTGCCCAGCTCCCGGGTACGCTGGCCTCCAGGAATCGAGGCTGAGACAGGAAGAACCCTCAGTTCAGTCCCAGTGCCTTCCCTCAAACAGCTTGCCGAGAACTGGTCTCCAGAACCCACTCGAGGAAGGTATAACTTCACCTTCTAGAACCACAGAAGGGGGAGGGAGCAGGCAGATGGACCTCTGTTGCTGTGTGTGCCTAAATAATGGAGTGTTGTTCTGGGAGGCTTCATGCCTTCTGAGAGATTAAGAGTTACTATGAACCCTGGCCAGAGAGATCGTAGACTAGAGGAGAAGGAGGGAAGAAGCCACACCTTCTCTTCTCCCTGGCCTGGCTGGGTGTTGGCCTCTCCCTTGCAGAGCCCAGTGACTTTGGCTTCCTGCATGCTAGCAGGGACTTCACATCCAAGACAAAAGCAGCTGAGGCCCACCCCGCTGGTGAAAAGAAGGTATCATCCAGCTTTGGTCCCCTGGATGCCCATTCTACTTCCCTGGGGAGGGCAGTGATCCCAGTGACCCATCCCTTCATGCTGTTTGTATTTCTTCCCCAGGAACAAGACAAGTCCAAGGCCCTTCCCCTAGAGGAAGCTGTGGCTTCTATCCAGCAGCTCTTCCAGCTCAGTGTCTCCATCGCTTTCAACTTCCTGGGTACCTAAGCGATTCTGCCTCAAGGCAGGATGATGAGGAAATGAAATGGGCATGGGATGGGTGGAACAGAGTCAGTATAGGGAGTGGTTTCAACAAGAGAGATTCATTGTCTCTCAGGTAAGTAGACCATATCTGGCATGGTGGCTCAGTAGGATCAGGGACCCATCCTTACATGTTCAGCCAGTATTCAAAGTAGCTCTCATCTTGAGGTCTGTCTTGCCCATTCCAGCTTCTGCCCTCTTGTCTGTATTCTTGGCAGCTGAGAGGACGGAGAGGGTAAATTAAAGAACCACTCCTTCCCTCCACTGGCCTGACCTGGAAGTTGTACTTTTAGGGAGATACATAAGCCAAAATGTAGATGTATGGCCACAGGTACTGCAGAAGAGGCTGAGAAATGTCTTCAGTTGAATGTCCATGTACTTCCTTGAAAATTCCATCCTGTGTAGGTAGGAGAAAATAAATTGTAGAGGACACCTAGTATGCTCTACCTCACTTAGAAAGAGAGGTACCTGAGGTTTATTATGTCTGGGAATTCTGCATGCCACTTTGTCATTTGTCCTGACTCTGCAGTGACTTGGTACATGTCTTAGGCCATCTGATAGGGAGCTCCAGTTTCTCAAAAGCATCTATTAGGGCTTAGTGGGTGAGAGGCTGGGGTTCATGCAGAACATATTTACTGAATACCTTTTTGCTAACCCCAATTTTATGTGCTGCAGATAGAGTGGTCCACAAGACAAAGTCTTTACTCTTGTAGTGTTCATGTGTAAACTGAAAAGTAAACAGTGCATTGGCCAATAAATAGAATTTTCTATGATAAATGTTATGAAGAAATTAAACAAGGAGATGTTTTAGTAACTTAGACAAGGAACGACTTTACATGTGGACGTCTAAAACCTGATAAAACCACTTTTGCTTCCATATGGAGAAAGCTTTTCCAGCAGAGGAAAGAGCAAGTACCAAGATCCTGAGGCAGCAATGAGTTTTACTTGTTAAGGAAACAAAAGATGAGTGTGGCTAGAGCTTAGTGGTCACACTAAGGGGATGAAGTCAGAGAAGCAGGCAAGGCCCACATCAGGTAAGATGTTCTAAACCTCTGAAAGAGAAGAGATTTCGTAAGTGAGAAGGAAGGCACTGGAGTAGGAAGAAGGTTAGTCACATGATCTGATTTACTCTTCCAAAAGGTCTGTGTGGCTGTTGTACAGACCAGTGCGGATTGTAGTGGGGGCAGGGGAAAACGGGACCAGGCAGAAATAAGCTGATAGCTAAGCAAGATGTGATCTGGCTTCTCGTGGCTAGAGGAAGTAGCCCAGAACAGAGAAAGCTGAGTTACCAGTGGACATGGTATGATCCTTTACCCTCTTATATTTTCTACCCCAGGACAGAGGGCTCTGTGAACTCTGGACAGTGAATTTTCAGCAATCTGGGAGGTGACTGACTCTGCTCACTGAATGGAACGCAGCTTCTTCCTCATTAGTGCTTTGTGGTTTTGTGGGCCAGTCTCAGAATTCTGCCCATTCCTTCATTCATATATTCATTTATTCAGCAAGTGCTGAGCACTGTGCCAGAGCACAAAGGCAGCACAAGCTATAATCATATTTTGCATTTGTATAGAGTTTTCGCCCTATGCAAAATTACTTGTACATTCTTTTTCTGCCCTGCCTGTAGGATTTTACAGTCTAATTGAGAAGACAGGACTTGTTCTCTTGAAACAGCTGAGTGCATAGACAAAGGTTTGGTAAATTAGGAAAGTGCTAAAAGAGTTTAAACCCTGGGTGTGGTCCAAAGGTTTTAGAGCAGAAACAGGATGGGAGGCCTGATGGCAGAGGGAAAGTGGGGCCTATCAGGAGCCTTAAGCAGAGTTGAGAGTCAGCAAAGTGGAGAAGTGCCTGGTTCCTTTTCTGTTTCCTTTTTCCCTGTACCATAAAAAGGGCCCAGGCTTTGGAGTTGGACAGGTCTGTGTTGGGGCATTAGCTGTCTTCTGCTCTAGCTCCTAGTTGCCTCATAAGACAAGATTAGCAGTATTGCCTTTGCTGGTTCAGGTTGTGTGCATTGGAAACCCTCCCTGGCAATGGAAGCCCAGTAAGAATCTCTGGGAATCTCTTGACCTGCTGAGCCTCGGAAAGAACAGGAATCAAGGGTATTCTAGGGACTGACACCCACAGTGTCTCCAGGTTGTTGCTGTTCCTTTCTCCCTATCTCATCCTGATTAAGATTCACACTCCTGAGAAAGCTTCATTGGTAGGCAAGAGCACAGACATGTTGATTAACAGCCTAGGGGAGGAGTTATTCCCAAAGAGCAACCAGAACTATTGGCCAGAGAAGCAGACTGAGGCCTTGATGTCGTCCATGGCACTAGTGAGCCATCTGGAGAAGAAAATGCCACACACCAGGGTCTAGCACAAAAAGAAAGAGCCAGAGAGGCGATGAGGAACCTAAGCATCTGGCTGAGGATGTGGAAGGTCATAGGGAGCTGTGATTGAGCTCTGTGCTTTCCTATAGGGACAGAGAGCATGAAGAACGGGGACTACACAGCAGCTTTCTCCTACTTCCAGAAAGCTGCAGATCGTGGCTACAGCAAAGCGCAGTACAACGTGGGCTTGTGTCACGAGCATGGCAGAGGCACCCCCAGGGATCTCAGCAAGGTATTGTCCCTCTGCCCTGCCCCGAGGCCCAGCTGCTGAGCTCACAAAATGAACTTAAACAAGCAGATGGGGAAAATCCCATTTCTCTCCCTGACTCTATTGCAGCCCAGCTATGGGGCAGAATAAGATACTTAGAACTTACAAGAATTTATGCTCAGAACTCAGGGAGGGCAGGAATCTTGCCTTTCTTGCAACTATATCCTCAGAGCCTAGATTGCACCTTGATAAATAGATTAATTCTAAAATAGAAGGATAAGTACACAAAGGTGTCACATACAAAGTATTTTGGTATGTCATGTGAAAGCAAAAAAAAAGGAAGAACAACTTAATGTTCTTTTATATACTTGAGACCTTAACAGTGATATACCAGATCTCTATTTATGATGGGGAAAGGCATTCATAGTGTATTTGTTATGTCTCTTTCTCTGTATGTATATTTTTCTCTTTCTCTGTATAGTGTATATATTATGTCTGTGTGTGTGTATATATATACAGATGTTTACATATGTACATAAACACATGTATAAATGTATGTACAGTGTATACAATAAGCATGTAACACATGTCCATGGGAAGAATCTTGCAAGCCTATAAACAAATTTTTTTAAGCTTTTTTTGTATTTTATACCTATGAATATTTTGCCTGCATATATGTAAATGCAGTGCATGGGTGCAGGATCTGGGAAGACCAGAATAGGGTGTCAGATCCCTTGGAACTGAAGTTATGTTGTTAGCTGCCATGTGAGTGCTGGGAACCAAACCTGGGTCCCCTGCAAGAGCAGCCAGTGCTCTTAATTGCTGAACCATCTCTCCAACTCCCATATTCTAACATTTTAATAAAGTACTGTTTTTATAATTCTACCACTCTGAAGGCTGAAACAGGAAGATTGCCAGAAGTTTGAGGCCAGATTGGGCTATACGGGGAGTAACAAATTGCAGGAACTCTATAGCAAGACCCTGCTTAAAAATAAATAAATAAAACAACATTGAAACACTGATCTTTAGGAGGCAGGATTTCTTGGTGTTTTATGTTTGGCAGACTATCCTGTAATTATTATGTATTTATTTGAATGATTTTTTTTTAATTTCATTCAAAGTTGGGTGTGGTGGCACTCACCTTTAATCCTAGCAGAGGCAGGCTGCCTCTGTGATCTCTGTGATCTGTGAGTTCAAGGCCATCTGGGACTACATAGTGAAACTCTTGTCTCAAAAAAAAAAAATTCATTCAAAGAAAGAGCAAGTTACCTACAGACTATTTCTTTCTCCCATTACCCCAGGCAGTCCTCTTTTACCATCAGGCTGCCATCCAGGGCCATAGCCTGGCTCAGTACCGTTATGCAAAGTGCCTGCTGCAAAGCTCAGGCTCTTCCTGGGACCCTGAGCAGCAGAGGGCAATGTCTATACTGAAGCAGGCTGCAGACTCGGGCTTGAGAGAGGTGAGTGCCCACTGGTGGAGTCTTTTCAAAGTGTTTAGGGCATCTGAGGCCTAAAAGTGACCAAGATGCCTTTTTCCTTCATCCCTGACCACAGGCCCAGGCTTTCCTTGGAGTGCTTTTCACCAAGGAGCCACACCTGGATGAGCAGAGAGCTGTGAAGTACCTTTGGCTGGCAGCCAGCAATGGGGTAGGTATGAAACCTCTGGCGCCTGAGCACGCTGGGGATCCAGTCTGACAAGAAAAAAGGATTGGGGAACTGGTTCTCAGTTCTGGGCTTAGGATATTGTTTGCTAAGAGCCTTGGGCTGGTCCATTTGGGTGCTAAACTTAAAATCAACTGCTAGAAGTATTTGCTTTCAGACAGTGCAAAGTGTGGTGAAACAGGGTTCCTCCCCACCAGCCACCCAGCCTGTTGCTAAACATTTACCAGCACACTATCAGGATATCACTTCTTGATTCAAACCTGTTTTACCATCTTTAAAACAAACATAATAATGCCTGCCTTAACTGTCTACTACTTCACAGGTTCTTGGGAGTATCAGAATCCAACCAAGGTAACAGGTGTGAGGGTACTTTGTAAGCTACCCCTGATTATTTATCACAGTGGCCTGGAGAAGTCAGACACTTAATGATACACTTTCTAGGAGAGGGGTGCCCAGTTGTCTGTGAGCTGAGTATTGGCATTCAGGTGACGTAACCTAGAGTTTGTTTCATGGAGCATTACTTTCATGGGATACTTACGAGGAACGTGAGGGAATGGTTACTTGGATTTGTAAACACTAAGCCAAACAGCTGTTTTCAGTGTAGAAAATGTCAGCGCTTTCTATCACTGAAATGCTGAGAAGGTGAGCTATGGTTTGTTGGATCGGCCAGTGTATTGGACCAGTGTGTGTGTTGATTTGCACCTGGAAGAGCTGAGTCCTGGATTCAAGGGGCAATGTGCACTGTCCTCTCCTTGCGTAGGGTGCTACTACTTCTCTTTGCTGCTGATCAACACAACTTTATTGAACTCCTGGACATCAGATTCTTATCCTCAGCTACTCTGTGTTGCCCATAGTATCTGTCGTAGCTGTCAGAAAGCAACCAGTGTCACCAACCAGTGCCTGGCACTGTGTCTGTTCTTCCTTTCTCAGGAGGAGCAGACCTGGCATCCATGTGGTGGGCATACCTTGGGCCTCCTGGCCTAGTGGGTCAGACCAACATGCTGAAAGGAGAGGTGTACAAAGTGATATCTGTCATCCCTTAGAGAGCACTGTGCTGGGAAACTTCAACCTACAGGGAACTGTGTCTCCCTGGATTTGTACTGAGCAGTGTTGTAGGGGTAGAGCTTAGTCCTGTGTATGCCCATTACCATGTTCTACCCTGGCCTGTAGTCCTGAGTCTACTGTGTTTAATGCAGACTTTGGCCTACACCTGTCACATAAGTGGGGGCAGAATGTGTGGCAAAAATTTGTGGAGCATAGAGGTGAAATGGGACCATGGTTGGGAGTCCACAACTTTTTTTTTTTTTTAAGCCAAGGGATTGACTGACAAAAAATACTCTAGTAGAGAGGGGCAAATCAGTGATGTGGGTAGCCATAGGGGAGAATAATGCTCACAGTACTGATTGAAGCACTTTTCATATAGTGACTCAACAACCTAATGAGGTGGTATTCCTATTCCCGTTTGAGGCCCCAGGATATAGAATAGCTTGTTTGAGGTTACTCAGGTAGTAAGTGATAGAGCCTAGGTTGGAACCCAGATGAGCTGACTGTACAGGCCAGGATTCTAACATCTACCTACCTGTTCTGCCTCTCAGAGGAGTACCACATCAAGAGAGGAGAGTGGATTCAGAGCCATGGGCAAGGGGCATAGCCTTTAAAGAAGATATGCTTGTGCTATGGTTCTGCTTTGTAGCCCTTTCAGGCAGACTCAGGAAGGCAGACCTGGTTTTGGGAAGTATCCCTGCACCCTTTCTTCCTGCTGTGTCAGAAAGCAAGAGCCTGCCTCCAGTTCCCATATGGAACTGAACCCCTCCTACAGCCTTCTTTGAGCAGCCTCCGCAAGAGAAGCATCCACATTGGCAGGCTAGACTCTCCCTGGGCAGAATGACTCAGCTTCTTGATTGGCCGAGTGCTGGGCCTCTAGCATTTCATGGTTGAGGCCTGTGGAGTGGGGCAGACTGTATGAATGAAGGCCCAGCATGCCTGCCTGATTCCACCTCCCTTCTGTCTGAGCATTTCAGTTCTTCAGTCTGTCTGTTTTCTTCTTTAGGATGCTCAGAGCAGGTACCACTTGGGAATTTGCTATGAGAGGGGCCTTGGTGTGCAGAGGAACCTGGGAGAGGCTGTGAAGTGTTATCAGCAGTCAGCAGCTGTGGGAAATGAGCCTGCCCAGGAGAGGCTGCAGACCCTGTTTTCCATGGAGGCAGCAGGTACAAATGCAAGCCTAAGTGACCTGGTTCCTTCTAAGCTCAGTGCTATGTGACAGGCAAGGGTGGTAGCCCCTGGTCTCCTTGTCAGTCGTAGCCCTGGTGGTATTTAGGTACCCAGCTTTCAGAGTGAGGCAAACCTGAGTTTTTAACCCCTGATGTCACTAAATTAAGACTCCATGTATTTGAGCTTTAGTTTCTTCTCTGAAAATCAGAGGAATAGGCATAATCCATTAGCTTCTTGTAAGAACTAAATTTTATGAAGATAAGGGCTTAGCACAGCCCAGCTTGGTGGTGCATGTCTGTAATCCCAACACTTGAGAAGCTGGGTCTTATATTTCCAGGTTGGCCTCAAAACATAGCAAGATGCTGCCTAAATAAATAAATAAATAAATAGCTTAGCATAGTCTAATACACAGTAGGTATTCAATAAATTAGTAAATGGTGTCTGCTTATCATGACTTTGTAAGAGAGCCAGTGTCTTAAGGCTGGCTGAGCTACCCTTCTAGGCTGTGAGAGCCCTGCCCACCTCTGAGTCACTGGGGCTGGACCTGTTAACAATGCCAAGGGAGCCAAGACCTTTAAGAAGTCCTTGCTCCAAAGTAGGAGTCTTTGTGTCTTGAGAACTGCCTGAGTAAGCATTGCTGTCACCCCTTTTTGTAGCCTCAGGGCCCAACCACCTGGCCATGACAGGATTGAAGTCTTTCTCCAGTCCCTCTCTCTGCAGCCTGAACACCCTGTTGGCAGGTGCCTCGGGCCTTCCTCACGCTTCAAGCACTGGGAACCTTGGCCTCTTCTGCAGAAGTGGCCATCTTGGAGCCAGCCATGGAGCCCCCAGCAGGGCTCTCCCCTCCTTGGAAAGGAGTCTTGTAAGACTGGGTTTTGGCTAAGGTGAGATAAAATGCAGCTGCTGATGCCTCTTGGGTTAGGGGATGGGGGGAATTAAAGGTTGGATGACAAAAGTCAGGTGTTGGTATCCCTTCCTAGGGTAGGAATTCCAGTGGGCTCTCAGGAGCCCACCTATTTCAATTGCATGGCTAATCAATGACTTTGACCGTTTTCTTTTAGTGTCTCACAGAATGAGCCTTGGGTACACCAAAGAAATTTATTGAGTGACCCCTGAGACACTATCACAGACCTGAGTTTTCACTTTAGCCTTTGTTTCTGAGCAAATCATGCACTCTGTTCCTATGCCTCAGTTTTCCCCCACTCACACTATACCATAATTTGCTAACATGATATGCATGTCCCTAGTGGTTTATAGTATTTTAAGTGGCATGGAAGTTAAAATGTTTTGCTTTTGTAATATATTTAACATACAATATCAAATATGACTGATATTGACCTGTAGTGTTTTTTTGCACTTCTTTACCAAGTTAACTTTAGAAAAGATAGGAATCAACTTAAAGCAAAACATCATGTCAGTGTAGAACATATCTGAAAAGTTGGCAAAGATCATCGAGGTGGTTTTGGGAGTAGCTAAAACTTGTGGAAGGAACACTGAGTCAAGTCATCCCTGAGAATAGCTCCACCATTTGCCCTGGTTCACCCCCTATTGGACTCATGATCATTTTCATTTTGTCTTTGATTTAGACGGAAGGAGTTCCTTGCCTGAATGCCTGCATATGTCTGCTTCGTGTGTTTCAGACTTCCACCTTAAAGATGGACATTGTGAGCTCTCAAAGATATCACAACTTGAGTCCCAAAGAAGAGGCCAATTAGCTACTTCCCAGAAATTTTGAGCACCTCTGCAGCACTGTAAAGAAGAGGAATATATGTGAAGACCCAGGTTCTGGCTCTGCTACTGTCCCCGCTACTGGCCTAGCCATGTCACCTGGAAGCAGTGACCCTATTTGCTAACATTGTTACCTTATTGTAGACCAACAGCAACGGTGTGTGCTTTCCTACCTTACAGGATGGAGGTGTGGGCATTTCACCAAAGAAAGGACTTTACTGCTTGCTTAGGCCCCTAAAGGCAGGTTGATACTCACAGTTCCATGGCCTTATAAATCACCAGGCCTTGATGAGGACCAAAGCTGGCCTCCTTACTCCAGCCCAGGTTTTTGGTCTATGAGTTCACATTGCAATGTTATGTGAAAGGATTATCATTGCCCTGCTGATGTAGGAGTGCCAATAGAGATTGGGTACCTGGAGTCTTGGATCCAGTGGAGATCATGAGCCCTTTTAGGGAAAGGTGAGCTGGGAATATACAAGTGTTTAATAAAACAGATGGTGGATTATCTTGTCATCCTTGCCTTTGAGTATGTTGGGAAGAGCCAGGGAGATGGGCAGGGGGGGCTGAAAGCTGAGGCTCCATCCTCCTCTCTAAACTCTCCATTAACCAATTTAAAGGGTCTTAAAAGCTTCTCCAAGAGAGAGACTCAGGAAAAAAATGACTTCTGAGTCAACGCTAATGACTCCAATTACTGAATTTGTGAATAGCTGTCCCCTGGCTTCTGGAAATTAGCCCAAGTTCAATAGCAGAGATGTGGTTGAGGGTAGGGGGTTGGAGGGACCGAGGAGCACACCCCCTGGTGACTCCAGACCAGCCAGCATGGTCAGTTCAAAAGTGGGGGGATTTGGGAAGGAAAGTTACTCACATTTTCCTCAGCTGCCCACCCCTCCTCCCAACCTCTGTCTGGTCCTAGCCACACTTTTCTAGTACCTTTCTTCCCCTGGAGCCTTAGTGCCTCTTGTGCCCCCTGTTCCTTCCCAGGTCTGCCCTGCCCTGTCCTTGCTTCCCTTGGACTGTGCTCCTTAGGAGGGGGCACCTGGTCTGTAGGGGCTACATGCTCAGAGTTTTAAGCCCTGCAGTACACTAATTTCTCTGCCAAAAAGAAATTTTAAAAGGTTTCTGTGGTCAAATAAGTTTGGGAAGCACTGCCCTAGACAGCCCCTTTTTATAGATTCACAGTACATATCAGCACAGTACAGGTTCCAAGAAGCCCTGCAGTAAGACCAGAGTTAACCCATTGTGTTCCTCACTCAGGTAACAGAGCCTTCCTGAGAATGTCACCACCAGCATTCTAGGAACTTCACTCAATAGCTTTTGGGTCATTTTGGGACTCTGTTTCCTGTTTCCCCTGACTGTGCCTGGAGCCTTGTGCAGGTTAGACAATGGATCCAGGTGTCCTACGGTTGTGGTGCAAGGTGGCTCTCCCTCCCACTCAGTCCCTGCTGAATCGAACACAGACTGTCTGGTACCTAAGGTAGTGTGGGATATTTCTAAGCCCAGCCTTAGAAGGAAGAGCCTGTGCCTGTGGAGAGGGAAGGGTGGCAGTCCTGAGATGTTGTCAGGGGACCAAAAGCATTGGCTGTGCAGTTATTGTGGTCTCAGTACAGCCTCAGGGTACAGGCTTTGTGGGCAGACCGAAACAGCTGTGTTTCCATTAACATTCTGTTAATGACTTGTCAGTGCCCCAAGAGAAAATGTGAGAGGAGGACAAGGAGGTGGGGTGGCCCCACAGCAGGACCAGCAGGCTTGGATACTGGGGGATCCAGAGTTCTGGGCCTAGCATGCTAAGCCTTGAGTCCTTCAAATAGTGTTCTCTGCTGCTTCAGTTTCCTTTGAAGACACTGTCCCAAAAGCTGTGATGGGAACATGACCATTCAGCTCGTCAGGTTATCAGTGGTAATACAGTGCACAGTGAATGTTTAGTTAACAAATGACATATGTACCCCCTCTACCATGTGCTAAGCAATAAGCCAAATGACATATGTACCCCCTCTACCATGTGCTAAGCAATAAGCCTACACATAGTAGGTGCTTTAAATAATTGTTGAATGGATGAATGAATGATTTCCTATGCTCCTCCCCTCACTGTTGATCCTTATGGCACTTCTGACACTTGGAAATTATTCAAGAAATACGTGATGTGGCCACATGTGATAACTTATGCCTATAATCCACCACTCAAGAGGCTGAGGCAGGAGGATTGCCTTGAGTTCAAGGCCTACAGTGAGACTCAAAAAGTTTGCTGAGTGAATATATGTACCAGCTCATAGTCTACCCCATTCTTAGAGACTGGAAAACACTGACCTATTTGATAGGTACATACAGTGTACCAGGTTGATCGTGTGCTAAGACTCCTACCCCTCCTGTCTTTTGGGGTTTGGTTCCCAACAGAGTCCCAAGGGTAGTGTTGCCATCTCATTCTTGTTTCAGTCAGAGGAGAGGTAGGGTCAGTGAGCTGCCAAGCTGAAGTTGGGTGACAGAAGGGAAGGCTGCCTGTCAATCTCTGAGCTGCCTGCCCCCAGGCTCCAAGTGAACACTGCATTGCACTCTTGGTGCTGGAGAAAGGCTGACTATTGATAAAAAAAAAAAAAAAAAAAAAAAAAAAAAGTCCCTCTGTGCTTTCCAAATTAAGATGACATTTAACTGAGTGCTTGCTGGCTCGCCTGCTCTCTCCCAGGGGACAGCCCATCTTGGTGGAAACTGTTTTGAGCATGTCCAAAGTCTCAGCTTTGACATCTTGGCTGATGTCAAGAAGTTTCTGTAACCTTCCTGTTCAGCACACCCAGTTCTGTCACCATATGTACTGCCTCACTCTGAGCCTACTGATGGGAAAAGTGCTGGTGTCAGCATGCTAGGAGAGGACACATGGTGCCGGGTACAGCAACCAGTCCTCACAAATACCCCTACTCTGACCAAACAGCACTGCCCAGGAGCTCTCCCAACCCTGCAGGGAAGACTGAAGACACACTTAGAGGACAGTAGTGGTCCTTAGTGAAGTCAGAGACTGCTTTGAGAATCTGATGAAAGTACCAGTCCTTCCCCAGGGAAAACGCATACCCTCTCTATTTACCTGCAGTTTAGTGGCATAAATCCCGAATCCCGACTAAAGACCCTCTCTTGGTTAAGAACCCACGATGGAAGCCAGGTATGGTGGTTCATACCTCTAATGACAGCACTTGGGATATTGAAGCAGGAGGACTTGCCAGCTGTTTAAGGCCATCTATGGCTACATAGTGAATTCCAAGTCAGTCTGAGCTATAGTATGAGACTTTTTAAAAAAAAAAAAAAAAGTGGTGGTACAGTCCTTTAATCCCAGCCCTCAGGAGGCAAGGACAGGTGGATCTCTTTGAGTTCAAGGCCAGCTTGGTTTACATAGCAAGTTCCAGGCCAGCTGGGGCTACAGGAAAACCCTGTCTCAAAAAAAATAATAAATTGAAAAACAGTAGTGGCACAGGTCTTTAATCCCAGCACTTAGGAGGCAAAGGCAGAGACAAACTGATCTCTGTGAATTCAAGGCCAGCCTGGTCTAAGTAGTTCTAGACCAGCTGGGGATACATGGAGACCCTGTCTCAAAAAAATAAAAAAAGCTGGGTGCGGTGTCGCACGCCTTTAATCCTAGCACTTGGGAGGCAGAGACAGGCGGATCTTTGTGAGTTTGAGGCCAGCCTGGTCTACACAGTGAGTTCCAGGACAGCTGGGGCTACAGGGAGACCCTCTCTCAAAAAAAGACAATAAACAAAAAATAAACAGAGTAGTAGGACAGGCCTTTAATCCCAGAACTCAGGAGGCAAAGGCAGAGACAGGCTGATCTTTGTGAGAGCAAGGCCAGCCTGGTCTACATAGTTTCAGATCAGCTGAGGCTACAGGGAGACCCTGTCTCAAAAACAAAACAAAACAAAAAAAGGCCAGCAAGGTGGCTCAGTGGGTTAAGGTGCACCTTGACCCCAAGCCTGACAACCTGAGTTGGATTCTTGGAACCTACAAGGGTGGAAGAGGACTTGACTTCCATAAGTTATCTAATCTCCACACACATATCCCATGGTATGTGTCTACACACACACACACACAAAGTAAAAATAAATAAAAAATTCAAATTAGGGGCTAGAGATGGCTCAGTGGTTTAAGAGCATTGGCTGCTCTTGCAGAGGACCAAGGTTTTATTCCCAGCACCCACATTGCAGCTAACAACAGTTCCAGGGGATCCAATGCCCTGCCCTCTTGTGACCACCACAGGCATTGTATGACATGGGTGCACTTACCTACATGCAAGCAATACATTCATACACATAAAATAAAAATAATAAAATTAAAAAAAATAAATTCTAATTAAAAAACTGGCTTCCAGGCGTGGTGGCACACACCTTTAGTCCCCGCATTCAGGAGGCAGAGGCAGGTGGATCTCTGAGTTCAAGGCCAGCCTGGTCTACATAGTGAGTTCCAAGATAACTGGGGCTACTGGGAGACCCTGTCTCAAAAAGACAGAAAAAAAAAAAATCCAACTATGGTGTAGAACACTGTACTAAATTCCTGATCCAGATCCTAGCTCTACCATAAACCTGACATGATGCCTTGTGTAAGTCACCTGTTGTTTCTGTTTTTCTTTATCCTTGGCTGTCAAAGGAAGAGTTGATAGCTGGATGTGGTGGTGTACACTTCTAAACCCAGCACTTGGGAAGTAGAGCCATGAAGATCAGGAGTTCAAGGTCATCCTCAGCTGTAAGTGGGTTCTAGGCTACATGAGACCCTGTCTAAAAACAGCAAGAAAACAAAAGCAAAAACAACCCTAAATGTAAAGTGAAGAACTGAAAGTTCAGACTCCCTGTGTCTACACTGGCTCATGTGTATAGATGTTCAGTGTCTTGCAGTCATGCCTTATAACCTTTTATAGGCCACATGTTCCCTCAGGAATCTGATGAGAATTTTATATCTTCTGCTCAGAAAAATGCTTATGTACAAAGTCTTGACTGGTACTCAGAGGTCCAAGGAGTCTAGTTTAGGACTAGAGTGGTGCAATGGTCCCCTGTATCTAACAATCATGTCTCAGGCATGGGTCCATCATCCCAGATCACCTCCCTACTCTCTCTCCTCTACCCTCAATGTCAGGTTCGGCAAATCCACTAGGAATTGGTAGGGGTCTACTCTTGTATCTTAGTTTTCAGATTTTGCTTTTAGAGAGTAGAACCATCCCCCCGACCCCAATGCAGTCCTAACTGAAGCTCCAATATAGAGAAAAGAGAACTCTGAAGCATTTGTTTACCCATTTATTCATTCATACATCCACTTGACAATTATTCAAGTGTCATCTGTGTCAGGCACCTGGCTGGACAAGCTAGAGCCCCTGTTTCCTTGGCTTTCCTGGCCTTTCTCAGTGGCCTGTAGAACCCAACAGCTCTGTGAACCAGCTTGAAAATCACAGGTCTTGTAAGATCACCCTGAGATGGAATGAGGTGATCAGAGGCCTAGACCTTGCCCTAAAATACTCAACTTTTGTGGGTCTCATTTTCCTCATCTGTAAAATGGAATAATGTCGCTCTACATTCCAAGTAGGTGTGACTGTCATCAGCCCTAGTTGGGAGCACAGCTGGACATGAATACATGAGCTCCAGAAGGGGACAAAAGGAATAGCTAGAGGAACTCCAGTGTCCAGGAGAGCCCCATGCTGTTCTAAACTAGCTGTGACTGCTTGGAAATTTCCAGGAGCATTATAAAGATGAGCCTTGGGAAAATATTTGCTATTTCTTCACCCCTGCCCCTGGAAGCCTGGCTGCTGCTGTTAGTATGGATTTCATAGTCTCAGCTGCTATACGATACTCTAGGGCCTGAGTTCACAGGCCCAAATCTGCTGGTAGAAAAATACTTCCCCAATGGGAGTGGGGCAGTGGGGGGGGGGTGTCAAATTAAATCTTATTGTAAAAGTCTAGTGCCTGGCTCATATAAATACTCTACAGTCCTGCTTTCCTCAGTTCTAATTTTTCATCTGAGAAGCAAATTATTTGATAACATAGCAGATAGTGTCAAGGACACATATGTCTATCATCTGTGTACCTGTCACTGTGAATAAGCGTGACCTCCTCCTGCCCAAGCCCAGCAAGAGTTTCTCATCAGGGACTGGAATGACAAACAGCCATCACTCTGGTACTCACCCTTGTAGCAGGTACAAACATGAGAATCAGCCATAGCTTGTCCTTTATTAGGTCAGAGAGCATTGTCTGGCTCCCCTAGGAGCCAGCCCTCTGCCTCCAGCATCCAGCAAGGCCACCTTCCTACTTACAATACTATATACTTGGTGGCATCTGTTCTGCCGGATGACCAACTCTTTATACTCCATATGTGATTTGCCAGCAAACACCTCGGCCACAAATAAGCTCTCCCGTCCCTCAAAAATCTCAACCCAGAGTCCCTTTTAAGGGGCTGCTCTAGTCAGTTGCTGTTCTGTTGCTCTGCCTTTCCTGTGGGGAACAGTATCAGTCACCCTCAAATTAGGGTGCCACCTCTGGTCGGTGAGTTCCACAATCTTAGAGACCAGTTCACTTCCTGGGATCCTTAAGGCCTGGGTGCCCTAACATCTCCCAGGGGACCTGATTCCTGGATCCAGAGGCATCCCAGGCACGTTCATAGATTCCTGTCACCACCTTGTCCGCCCCCAGCTCCAGGCTTTCTACCTGGGCGGTGCTGGGCTTCAGGACCCGAGGCTCCGCTGGTGGCCAGGTCTAGACTGAGGGTCCTGCCACACACTGAGAGCCGCCGTAGCGCCTGGGAGGCAGCCTCCATTGGCACAGAGCGCTGTTCCAGCAGCATCTCCAACAGAGAGCTCATCTCCGAGAGGAATGTGCTGGCCAGGCGCGTGCCTGTCGGGCTCAGCTCTGGTCTTGGTCCTGCTGTCTTGCCAAACGTCTTGAAGGTCCTCGGTTCCTCCGAAGCTGCAGCATCCGGGGAAGACACATTGTCTCGGTAATTGGTGGTGAGGGGCAAAGACAGCCTCGCCATCCATGCAGGGTCAGGGGGATTCAGCTTGTCCAGGGCCAGGCCTGCAGAGGGTGGAGGGACATGGTGAGGGCCAGACCCATAGAAGGGCAAGGCAACCAGCAGAAGTGGGGCTGAGGGTAGAGCAAGAGCAATGGACAATGGAGGGAAGGGAAATGACAGGGGACATTGGTGGTAAGAGGGGGACAGGAAGGAAGAGGCCATGACAGGCAAGCTGGCTGGGTGGGAAAGCTGCTGACCAAAGGAGCTGGGAGGGCTTTTCCGGGAGCAGGCAAGACAATTAGAAATTAGCTGGTTTCAGGCTGACATGGTAACACATCTGTAATCCCAGCACTTGGGAAACTGAGGCAAGAGGGTCACACAACTTTGAGGCCAGCCTGGTCTGCACTCCCAAGTTCCAGGCCAGTCAGGGCTATACAGTAAGACTCTATCTCAAAAATAAATAAATAAATAAATAAATAAATAAATAAATATAATAATGACCACTTATTAGCTGCTCATGTGCAGCTAATTGTCTTGTTTAACCTGCACAGGCTTTTGAGATCAAGAGCCCTATCTCCACTTTAGGAATGAGGAAAGTGACCCTGGGAAAAGTCCTCTCTTGTAACCAACCCTGGACCAAACCCTAGGTCTGATGACTTTGAAACCCTGGTACTCCCCACCCTATCCACTCCCTGGAAAGCCCTTATTGCCTTGCTCATGTGCAGCTAATTGTCTTGTTTAACCTGCACAGGCTTTTGAGATCAAGAGCCCTATCTCCACTTTAGGAATGAGGAAAGTGACCCTGGGAAAAGTCCTCTCTTGTAACCAACCCTGGACCAAACCCTAGGTCTGATGACTTTGAAACCCTGGTACTCCCCACCCTATCCACTCCCTGGAAAGCCCTTATTGCCTTGGATGCTCCTGGGACCCACCTCTGGAAAATTCCAGGGCTGTCAGGGGCAGCACTGTCACCACCTGTCCTCTACTTCACCTTCCTCACAGTCACTTCTCTATCTGCAGGAAACCCTGGCCTAGAGTCAGGCTGAGAAGGGGCTGCCTGCCTGAGGGTTATCTGGAGAAAGGGATAGGGCAGTGGTGGTGATAGCCTGGTGGTTGAGACTTCAAAAACTTGTCCTTAGAGTCCCATGTCACCATCACACTTTTTAAATTTATATATATATATGGTGGGGGGTATGTGCATGTGAGTTCAGGTGCCTGTGGAAACCAGAGGTATCAGATCCCCTAGAAGCTGGAATTATAGGTGGCTGTGAGCTGCCCAACAAGTTTGCTAGGAATTGAACTCAGGTCCTCTGGAAGAGCAGTATGTGTTCCGACCCCCATCACACTTCTTCTCCCATTTCTTAAACAGAAAATCTGTCTCAAAAAACCAATTCCAGCATGCCTTTAATCCCAGCAATCAAGAGGCAGAGGTAGGAGGATATCTGTGAGTTCAAGGCCAGCCTGGTCTATATAGCAAGTTCCAGGCCTGCTGGCACTACAGAGAGGCCCTGTCTCAAAAAGACAGAAACAAAAACAACAATAACAACAACAACAACAACAAACAATTCAGGAATTGGAGAGATGACTCAGTGGTTAAGAGCACTGGCTGCTTTTGGAGAGGACTTGGGTTCAGTTTTCAGCATCCTCAAGGCATAACTCCAGTTCCAGAGGATCCAATGCCCTCTTCTGACCTCTGTGAGCATTGCATGCACATGGTGAACTTGTATACATGCAGGGAAAACACTCATTCACATAAAATAAAAATAAAAAAAATAGGAGGCTGGAGAAATTGCTCAGTGGTTAAGAACAGTGAATGTTCTTGCAGAACACCCGGGTTCGAATCCCAGCACCCATATGGCAGCTAACAACTGTCCATAACTCCAGTTTCAGGGGATCCAACAGCCTCTTCTGTCCTCCTCAGGCATTGCACGACATGGGTGCACTTACCTACATGCAGGCAATACACACATATACATACAAATAATAAATAAAATATTTGAAAAAATAAGTAAATAAATAATTCTTAGAACACAATTCCAGCTGGCTGTTACAACCAATGCCTTTAATTGCCGCACTCGGGAAGTTGAAGCAGGAGAATTGTTGGGAGTTCCAGAATAGCCTGGGCTACATAATGAATATGAGGCCAGCCAGGACTACATAACACCCTGTCTCAAAAACAACAAACAAGGGGCTGGAGCAGTTAAGAGCACTGGATGCTCTTGCAGAGGGCACAGGTTCAATTCCCCACACCCACATGGCAGCTAACAACTCTCTATACATAACTTCAGTTCCAAGAGAATCTGACGCTCTCTTCTGATCACTGTGGGCATTGCACAGCACCAGTGTACTTACATACATGCAGGCAATACACTCATACACAAAAAATTAAAATATAAAAGAAACAAAAACTAATTCCAGTCCTGAGGGCAGAGGCCAAGCCAGGAGAAAGAAAGGAAATAAGTCTCCTGGTTATGAAACTGTCAAAAAGGGAGACCATTTATTGATGATAGCAGGTAGTTAATGTTTGCTTCAGGTTAGTGATTTTAAATCTGCAAGACACAGGAAGGAAACAGGGCAATATGTTAACTGAAAGTACCCCTGGGCAGAAGCAATTTGTTCTCTTTCTATCTATATTTTCTACATTAACCAAATGCTACTTTTGCAATTTGGAAAATTATTCCAAAGTACAGTTAATCTTTTGTTTATATCACTGAATGATACCCTGATTCTTATCTTCAGTTCTGAACTATACAGGATGGGAGGCAGAGTATGGCCCCATGGCTGGGACTTAGTGAGTGTATGTTATATGATTAATGCACATGCATACTGACCCTTGACATCAGGAGACTGTAAATACTAGTTCCCTGAGACTCTGAGATGATGAGAATTGGATCTCTGAATTTCAGACTCTGGCCTTTCCTTGTAGACGGGTTGGCTTCAGAGGAGAATGGGAGATCATAGGGTATCTGAGAACATCTGGAAAGTGATGATAAATTCACTCTGCATCACCTACCAGTTCCAACTACAGGTAGGCATTGGGTTCACCTGTGTATAACTTCCCACCTTTGCCATGTGACCCTGAGAAAATGGCTTCCTCTCTCAGAACTCCTTTTCCTTTCACAAGTGGTGAGAAGTGCCAGGTATAATGGCACACACTTTTAGCCCCAGCACTCGGGAGGCAGAGGCAGGCAGATCTCTGTGAGTTCAAGGCCAGCCTGGTCTCCATAGCAAGTCCAGGCCAGCTGGGGCTACAGGGAGACCCTGTCTCAAAAAAACCAAAAAAAAAAAAAAAAGTAGTGAGAAGTAACCTTAATTATGAGAATTCAGTGAGTTCATGCTACTAGTAAAAGACTGTCATCATTACATCTTTGTGTGTGTGTATTCGTGTGTGCACATGTGGTGGGTGCATACATGTAGAGGATATTTGTGTGTGTGTGTGTGTGTGTGTGTGTGTGTGTGTGTGTGTGTGTGTGGAAACTGATATCAGGTGCCTACCTCAATCACTCTCTACCTTATTTTTTCTAATTATGTCTATGTGTGAGAGTGTGTGCATGCAAGTACATGTGCCTGTGGAGGCCAGAGGCATCAGATCCCCTGGAGCTGGAGTTACAGGCCTTTGTGAGACACCTGATGCGGGTGTTAGGAACCAAACCCAGGTCTTCTGCAAGAGCAGCCAGTGCTCTTAACCTCTGAGCCATCTCTCCAGCCCCTCTGCCTTATTTTTTCAGACAGATTCTCATACCAAACCCGGAGCCCACACTGGACTAGGCTGGCTGATCAGCAAACCTCAGGGATCCTCCTATCTCTGCCTCCCTAGCTCTGGGATTACAGGTATACGCTGTCATGCCTGGCTTTTACATGGGTTTTATGTCCTCTACTTTCACGGCAAGCTGAGCCATCTCCTCTGCCCCATTATCATCACATCTTCAGGTGAAATTCTAATCTGGTCACCTAGACCCCAGTCCTAGGTGTGTTCCCAAGTAGTCCCAGGGCATCCAGCCCTTCAGATAGCCAAAGCTTTCTTTTCTTTCTTCTTCCAAATCCACAGTGCCAAGCACTCTGTGCCTTCTGCTATGGGGAAGCAGGACAGCTCAGGGACTGAGACCACAGGTACTAGCTCCAGCTGGCCAGTGAAGACAGAATTCAAAACTATAAGCACCAACTATATGTGGGATTTGAGCCTGTGAAATGCAGCTGGTATGATGAGGACTGAAAAACCAATTCCAGCATGCCTTTAATCCCAGCAATCAAGAGGCAGAGGTAGGAGGATATCTGTGAGTTCAAGGCCAGCCTGGTCTATATAGCAAGTTCCAGGCCTGCTGGCACTACAGAGAGACCCTGTCTCAAAAAGACAGAAACAAAAACAACAATAACAACAACAACAATAAACAATTCAGGAATTGGAGAGATGACTCAGTGGTTATTTCAATTCATTTAAACTTAAATAGCCATCCATATGTGGTCAGTAGCTACCATATTGAACAGCAAGGCTCCAAAACTTAGAGCCACACTGTCCATGCTAATAACCATTAGCTGCATGATCTTGAGAAAATAACTAAGCACCCTTGACTCTCAGGTTTTTTTTTGTTTGTTTGTTTCTTTTCCTTTATGACATGGGCATAATGAATAACCCCTGTCTCCGGGTTTCTCCAGAGAAACTTAGAACAGGGAATTTGCACATAAAAAGTTCTCAATGTTAACTATGGTTTTTACCCACAGAAAGGGCAAAATCTGCCATGCTTGGCAGCCAGATGGAACATAGAAGAAATAAAGTAAGTGCAGAAACTGAGGGTGACATGGGCAGGTATGGGCGTGTCACTTAAAGGAGGCAGAATTCAAACTGCCCAGGTTTGGGGCTCCCCTTCAATCACCATGGAGTAAGAGAATTCTGGGCAGGCTAGTTTCCATTCTGAGCCTCACTGTTAATCTGTAAATCGTAACTATTATTATCTACCCAGAGGACACTGCAGGCTTCACTGAGATAGGGTGTATAATGCTTCCTTGGTGCCTGGCACATGTACCAAGAGTTCAGTAATTGTTCACTGTTCTTAACGGTTTTTTAAAAAATTTTTTAGAAAGTAGAACACAGTCTTTAAACAAAAGAAAGTGGGGCACGGTGGATCATGCCTGCAATCTGAACACTTGGGAAGATGAGGCAGGAGGATTGCCAAGAGTTCAAGGCCAGCCTGGGCTACAAACTGACAGAATCAGACCCTATCTCAAATAACCAAAACAACAATCAAGCAACAATAACAAAAAAATACATAAATAAATAAATAAGAGAAATATTTTCTGAGATGCCAGGTAAAGTAAAATGCTGCCCATGTTCCTCTCCACAGTAGACTGGTACAGAACTCTGGAGCACATAAGGGGACCATACAGACAAAGACAGCATAGGGGCAACCTTGGGGCATCCCTACCTGTGTGGGGGTCCAGCAGGCTGGAGAGCTCTTCTTCTAGCAGTCGCTTCACAGAAAGGTCCTCCTCAGGGTCTAAGGGCCCTTCTTCCTGGTCTGGTTCCACTTGGCCACCAGGCCTGACACCTGGGCCATCTATGTCTGGGTTGGGAGCCCTGTGAAGAAGCCAGTCAGCTTTTTGAATGAAGAATTTCCACATAACTTTGTCCATTCACACCAGCATTCATCATCCATGTAGGGAACTGGCTGCACAGCCTGACCTGTAGACTCAGATCAGCCTGGGTCTTGCAGTTCCAGCTGACTCTGTTTCCTCGTCTATGAAATGGGAGCAATAAGCAATAGCCCTCACAGAGTGTTATAAAATGAGACTTTTAGATAAAGGTTTAACATAATGCCCAGTACACTGTAAGTAGGAATACAGATGTGACTATGACATCATTGATAGTGTCGCTCACTACTGGCCCTCCCACACCTTTGCTGAGCATGGCACAGAGCAAGCATTTATCAAATTTCTTCAACCAATTTGGGATTTTTGTCTTTCTCATTCTTTGTTCTCTTGCCAAGTACTCAGAACATGGCCTGCCACACACTGGGTGCTTAATAAATGCTATGAAATGAGTGACTTTGGGTTCCTTCCTCCCTACTAAAGCCAAATCTCATAGCAGAAGAGCAGGTTTGTGAAGGATGCATCTGAACAGGGCATCCTAAAGCTTCTCATATCTACTTCCTGCACCCCAGCCTCCTGGCTTCACCTTGACCCCTCTATCCCACTGACCCTTGAGGCCTCCAACAGTCACCCTAGAAGAGGTCTGAACCTTCATCCCAGCAGGTAAAAAGACTCCCTAGAAGCTCTAAAGTCTCTTTCTGGTTGTTGTCCCCATCCCCCCACTCTGGCCATTAGATCAGAGGGGCGGTGGCAAGCTGGAGGTAATAGTGACAACAACTGGTATTTTCTCCTCAAGGACCCGGAGTCAGGCCTCTTGCTATTCAAGGTACAGACATTCTCTCACTGGAAGCTTCCAAGCTGATAAAGAAAAGTCATTCCCCTTTTACAAATGAGATTTTGCAGCTTGCCTAAAATCCCCATGGATTAAGTAATAAAGTAAGAATTCAAATCCAGACCGCAAATCTGGAATGTGTGTACTATTAGGGATCCGAAAAGCATGCCCCAAAGGGAAGGGCTCTCAAGCAATCTCTCTGACCTTCTCTGACCTTCTGTCTCAGAGCTCCTACCCTCAGGCAAATGGATAGTAACTAGAATTCTTCTCCCGAAACAGGTCATAGAAACCAGAGCCCCAAAAGCAGACAGAAAATCTATAAATATTATTTGAACTTCCCTCTACCTTTCTGTGTAAGAGTTGGCCATTAAGAAATTCTCTGACCTACCTAGCTTGATTGCAGGTCATAAGACCCTCATTCTAGAAAGGCCCTTTTGGGCCCTAGTCCTAACCTAGCTGGTTAGAAGGGCCCAGAAGCTGTACAGACAGGCTTTGCTGGGTTTTCTTCCTCCTTTAAATTTCCATTCCCTCACACCCTTTTTGTCCAATGGTATTTCCACAGTTCTCCTTGCTTCACTGAACCTAAGCATAAAATGGGTCTTTGAATCTTCAGTCTAAAGGCTTCTGTGTCACATAAAACTATGATAAAAAAATCTGTCATGGAGCCAGTGAGATGGCTCAGTGGGGTAAGGGCACTTGCCACCAAACCTGATCACCTGGAAACTACTCAGTAGAAGGAGAAAAATAACTCCCAAAAGTTGTCCTCTGATTTCCACGTACCCCCATACACATATACTAAATAAATAAATAAATAAATAAATAAATAAATAAATAAATAAATAAAATAAGTAAATGTAAAGAATATTTTAATGTTATGGCATTTCTCTTGTCAGTCTATTGCCAGTTTATTTCAGCAGACTCAAATACTGAGGGTATTTACCCTTGCTCCACATTATCTCTTACCATCCCTACAAAAAAAGAATCTATGAGGGATCAGGGCAAGAGCACTGATCCAGGAGTCAGCAGGCTGAGGGCTGGTCTCTGCTTTCCCTTTCCCTTTTCTATGTAACCTTGAGCAAAGTCACTCTAAAGAGAAAGGACTTAGCATTGCTTCTGTACCTGCTTGGTCTTGGAATATATTTTGATCACTAAATCTTTCCCCATTACTTCAAGAAAAATATTGTGGCTCGTTTTACAGATGTAAAAACTAAAATCACCTGACTTGCTCAAGTTTACCTAGCTGGATTGGATCAAACTACCTACAGCCTCAGTTTCTCCATGAGTAGTGAGGAATAGGATTTTATATCTTCTTGAAACCTCTTCAGTAAAGGACTTCCCAAAGGCGCCATACATGCATACCTGTGTCCTTACATATTATGTTTATGGGTCAAGAGAAAGAAAGGTGAAAGTTTCAGATTTCAAGACAATTTACAGCATCTCTGTAATCAGGGGACAGTCAGAACTAAGAGATGAAGTCATTTCCTTAGTGACTCTGGGACCTGTAAATACTATAAATACAGTGGCCCAGGATGGAGTTCCCTGGGTGGGGGATGGATGCTGTCTGCTATGTGCACCCCAAGGCCAGGTATGCGGACTGGTCACCTTTTTCACCTCATAGAGGCTGTCGGGAGGGCAGCTGGTGGGGGCCTGGAGGAGACTGTGAGGGTAGCCGGTGGGGGCCTGGAGGAGACCATGGGGGCTACGTGCTGCTTACCTGCCGCCTCCGGGCTTGGCCAAGTATTTATTTCCCCGGTGATTTGGTTTGGGCTGGAATTGGCCCTGATGAAGCAAGGACAGCAGCTGGGAGATTTGCTACAAGACAGGAAAAATCTGTTGACTCCACACAATTCCAACCCAGCACACTTCCTCGCCGGATGTTTCCCTCAATGCCGGTGCTTTCTTTTTATAGTTTTTCCTCTGGCTTCAGATGTTTGTGTGATCAGATGGGGGGATGGTCCTGAATGATAGAGACAAGGACCTGGGAGAAGGCGCTTCCCTGCTTTGCCATGTCACCCGGGTCCCTGGACAGCTGAAAGAGATGGCATGGAGACCCTTGGGGCCATCCCTCATGCTCATTCCCTTAAGTGACCAGTGGATTTTGAGGGATGGGGTGAAAAAGGCATTTCCTGATCATACACTTGCTATTTTGATGGGGATTTTCTTCAAGAATTATTTTCTCCTTGGAGCAGTATTCAAACATTCTGGCCAATTTGTGTGGGCCATGTGTAAGACTGCATTGCGTGGAGGGGAAATAGTGTTGTTTAACCAGTCACTTACCCTGTCACTCATTGAACTTGTATTTAATAAGTGCTTCTTTGTGCCAGGCACAGTGTTGTGGGAGAAAAAATGAGGAGACCCCTTGTTGTCTCTGAGAGTTCATAGTCTGCAAGGCAGGCAGGGGGGAGTGGTGACAGGGGTCTGCATCTGAGTGTTAGGAAGGGATAAGGTCTGTAAGAGCAGAGGCCCCAAATCCAGTTTGGAGGAGGGAGTAAGTAGCAAGATCATACTGGCAGAAGTTTATTCGTTTCTTTTGTTTTGAGATAGGATCTTGCTCTGTTGTCCAGGCTAGCCTTGAACTCCAGGGTTCAAGCTATCCTCCTACCTTAGCCTCCCAAGTGGCTAGAACTACAGGTGTCTGCCAACCATGCTTGACTTTAATTTATTTAAACAAATGTTTCTTGAATTCTGACTATGTACCAGGCAATACTGCTGAGACCCAAGGCCCCACAGGAACTCAACCAGAGAGAGAGGGTCTAGCTATGGACTGAAGAGGGTTTCAGGCAATGGCACTGAAAAGCCACAAAAAAAGAGTTTTAGAAAGGCCACAGAAATCAGTCCTATATCCTTAGTTCTGGAGGGAGAGGAAGCAGACCAAGTCTTGAGAGACTGAGTTCTAGTTCATGGTCACTAGCTTGTGAACTTTTAGACAGATTTTAAGACTTTTTGAGACCTCAGCTTCTTCATCTCTCATCTCTGAAATGGGGCTAGCATTCTCCACAAACTGTCATTGTTAATTATAAGGTTTGAAAAAGTTAAAAATTCTCTGCAGATGTAAGGACCTTGGGGGTTGTTGCTTCTAGAAATGTTGCTTCTGGCTTTTGAGATTTAGAAGATGGGGAGGCCAGGATCGAGGTTTCACTGTGGCTTGTGAGAGTCAGGGTCCCATGGTTTGCCTAAGAGTAGATCCCACCTCCCCACCAAGATCAGAAGCTCTCAAAAGGCAGACATCTTCTACCTTTTGCCAAGTGACACTGGAGAAACATGTCCTGCATGCCAAGCCCAGTGCTGAGTGTTGGCATTCAGAGTCACTCCACATTTAGAGCCTAGACTCTAGAGCCAGACTCAGGTTCCCATTCTAAATCTCTTCTTGCCTTAGTTCCCATCTTTGTGGTCCTGGAAAATCACTTAAGGACTCTGATCCTCAGTCTTCAGCAGTGAAAAAAAAAAGATAAATAATAGTGAAACCCAGGTCATGTGGCGATGGTGAGGTTTAAAGGAACAAAGGTGCATGAATCACTTGTTGATGGATCCCATGATAAATACAAAATGACTGCCTGGTAGCAACTAATCTCATTTGATCCACACAGTAGCTGCGGGGAGGAGATACCATCCTACTCATTTCACAGAGGCGAAATCTGAGGTTCACAGAGCCACATAGAAGTGAGGACTGGAACTTGGACTTAGAGCTGATTCCACTACACTGAACTGCCGAAAAGACCTGAGCACCAGGCATCTTACTCCTGCCCTCAAACTGATTCCAAATGGGCACCTTTCTTTCCACCACTCCAGCATGTCATGAAGAGTGCCTGCTCTCTGCTGTCCTGTCCTCTGGCACGGCATAGAGTGCACACAAAAAGTAATTGATGAATGAATGAATGAATGAATGAATGAGTCAATGAATAAATAAATAGATAGTTGGCTCTGGGCAACCTCTGGGTTTACAGTGAGCCCCAGGGTAAGATTCCTAAGAGAATAGCTGGACCATCTCCAAGTGGCTTCCTGGGAAGGGGTTGGGGAAGGAAGCTGTGTCTTTTCATAAGGGACCTGAGTTGATGGTCTGACCAAATAGAAGTGGCCTCAGGCACACAGCCTGGCACAGTGAAAGCTCTCTGGATGTCAGAGAAGCAGTCAGGGGTATGAGATCGAGCCCCATTCCTGAAAAGATGTCTTAGTTATTTTTAGTAAATTCTGAGTCACAAGACAGGTTGTTACTTGTCAACATTTAATCCCCATTCCTCTAGGGCAGTAGACAACCAGGTAAGTTTGGTCTTGTAATTCCCATTTTATAGATGAAGAAAATTAAGCTCCATGGGTAAAGAACTTTCCCTAGGCTGTCCAGTCTTAAGTTTCTGTGTTAAAATTTCAAGTTGGATCTGCCAAACTTGGATCTGAGGTTGCCCAGAGCCAACTATCCATTCATTTATTCATTGACTCATTCATTCATTCATTCATTCATTCATCAATTACTTTTTGTGTGCACTCTTTATGCCGTGCCAGAGGACAGGACAGCAGAGAGCAGGCACTCTTCATGACATGCTGGAGTGGTGGAAAGAAAGGTGCCCATTTAGAATCAGTTTGAGGGCAGGATTTCTAAGGTTGTCTCTACTGTACAGTTCTGTGGGCCCAGATGGGTAGGCTTTAGAGTCTCAGGCAAGTCAAATGCAACCCCTAAGCCTAGGACAGTAGTACTCAAGCCAGCCTGCTTCACAGGATGGCTTGCTAAGCTTGCATTACATGCTAGACACTGCTTTCCAGGCATTACTGGCATTGACTTACTTTATTTTTTTACAGACTTGGAAGAAGGATGCTGCTAAGGGGGACAGTTTCATCAGATAAGCCAAAGAGTCACTACCGGGAAGAGGTATGGCCAGGATTCAAACCCAGGCAAACTTACTGCAAGGCTTTTCACAGTCTTTGCTGTATGTCTACATATACCAGGCACCAAGAATAAGCACTTTATAAGGAATTAACTGGTCCAAACCTCAGGACAGCTCTTCAAGGAACATTTCTTATTGTCAACCCTATTTCACCACTAAGGAAACTGAGGCTCAGAAACTAAAAAATTAGCCCAGGATCACATGGCTAAGATCTGTTGATGCTACTGTGCTACTCAAAGAAAGCAACACAGTGTGCTGGGCAAATCTAAGAGTGAATGGACAATGTGGGGGAAATGAGGATAGCTAATGCTCTTAGTGGTGGTTCAGGGGTGGCCAGAAAAAGAGCTGCCCATGCCCAAGGTACCTGGACAGGAGGAGAATCCACAGCAAGCTCTTCTATAGGGTTCCGCTCCGCAAAGGCAGCCACAGATAGTCGGACCAGGCTCCTCAGAATCTCATGGGGGCCTGATTCTCTCCCTGGTGACACTTTTCCATTGAGATTCCGCTGCCGCCTCAGGGTTGCAGAAGATGCTGTTGGGCTCTGTGGGATCTCCTCATTGCTGTGGTCTCCAGCCAGCCCCACTGTGGGGCTGCCAGGCACTTTCAGGGGCCTTAAACATGGCTGGCCTGGGGTAGGAGGGGACTCAGGAAGGCTCAGGTTCTCCCGGGAGGCATTCCTCTGCCTGGGATGATTGAAAAGGAGGTTTACAGTGTCCTGCAGCACCTCCCGGCTCTCTGCCACTGTTCCCTGGTTGCCTTGGTTGCGCAGAGTCCTGTACAGGGTTGGTGTGAGGTGGAAGGGGGCTTGCAGGCAGGGGTCCCAGCCTGCCTCCATCATTGCCTCCTTGCCTGTATCCTTGAGAGATGGCTTGACTTCATCAGTCTCATCCACCTGGCCCCTGAGCACAGGCACTAAGTGGATATCTGTCTTCTGAATGTGTTTCTGGGGCCTCTTGGGTTGGTGGCGGTAGGTGGACTCAGCTTCACGACAGTTGTAGGCCCTATTGTCCTTCTTCTCTGTCCGGCAGATGGACATGAATAGAGCCAGGCCCAACCCAAAGACAGCCAGCAGTATAGCCAGACAGATCATCGTCAACACAGATGTGCTCAGGAGCCCAGGCTTGTGGGCAGAGTCCCTTAGGTGGTCCACACTGGTGACAAACATGACCCTCAACAGAGCCTTAGTCTGCAAAGGGGGGCTGCCCTGGTCCTCCACCAATATCTCCAGGTCCCACTGACTTCCAATGAGGCTACTGGCATTGGTGATGTTGATGAATAACTGCCCCAGAGAGGGGCTGAGCACAAAGAGACGGGCATCATTCCCCCTTTGAATGTGATAGAGGAGCTCCCCATTGGCCCCTGAGTCTGCATCTCTTGCCACAATGGTCACCAAAAGGAAAGACCAGGAGCTTTGAGCAGCCAATGGTGTTGTACCAGGCATACCAGCACCCGCTGGATCCAAGCCACTGGGAGTCTCAATGGGTAACAGAAGGTGGCCCGTGGAGGCATTTACAAGCACTGAAAGGGAGGCTTTACCTTCACTGAGCACAGGCTGTATCACCTCTGGAGCATTATCATTGGCATCCAAGAGGCTGACCCACACAGAGATGCTGGATGCAAGCTGGGGTTGCCCCCTGTCCTCTGCTATCACATGGAACTCAAAGCCAGCCATCTGTTCATAGTCCAGTGACCTCTGAGCAGTGATTTCTCCTGTTTCAGAGTCAATAGCTATGAAGTGAGAAACTGGGGAGTCCTGGACACGGTATGAGACTTTTCCATTAATGCCCAAGTCAGCATCATGAGCCTTGATGGTGATGAGGTGAAGAGAGAGTGGGTTGTTTTCCCTAGTGGAGACTTCGTACCGACTCTTCTCAAACACAGGAGCATTGTCGTTGGTGTCATTCACCTGAATGCTGAGCTGCTTCATGGCTGATAAGGGCTGGGGTCCTTGATCTTGGGCTAACACGGTGAGAGTGTATTGGGGCCATTGCTCTCTGTCCAGTGTGATGTTGGTGAGCAGCATGTATGTGTTGCCATTGGTCCTTTTCAGCCGAAAGTGGCCCAGTTCTTGCTTCAGCCAACAATAGACCAGACCATTGTTTCCTGAGTCCAAGTCATCTGCCACAACAAGAGCAATGAAGCTGTCTTTGGGAAGAGCTTCTGACACCAGCGATGGCTGGGAGGCCCATGTGATGTGGATGCTTGGGGCATTGTCATTGACATCCAGAACTTTGATAAGAACTTTGCAGTGGGCTGGAATGGGATTGGGCCCCAGGTCCCTTGCCTGGACATCTACCTCATAAGCAGGATTCTTTTCGTAGTCTAGGGCTTGGCGCAGAATGACCTGTCCTGTCTTGGCATCAACACTGAAGGTGTTCAGCACCTCTGGGGACATGTGTTTGCCAAGGAAGAACTCCACCTCCCCATTGGGGCCTTGGTCAGGATCTGTAGCAGTCAGGTTTATGAGGAGAGTGCCAGGGGCAGCATCTTCTGGAATTTCTAGCGCCAGTGAACTCTCAGCAAACACAGGACTGTTGTCATTGGAATCCAGGACATTGACCTTGACCAAGCTGGTGCCTGACTTAGGGGGATTCCCATTGTCATAGGCAGTCAGCACCAGATCAAAAGATGAATGGACTTCGCGGTCCAGCTGCTTCATTACCACAAGTTCTGAGTGTTTGGTCTCATCAGGTCCCACAATGACATCCAGGGTAAAGTGCTCGCTGGGAGACAGGGTGTAAGAATGCAAGGTGTTAGGACCAGTATCTGGATCAAGAGCTCTGTCCAGGGGGATCCTTGTGTGCAGAGAGGCACTTTCAGAAATTTCTAGTTCCTGCTCACCTTTGGGAAACTGTGGCTGGTGGTCATTGATGTCCAATACCTGAATCTCCACATGAATCAGAGCCAAATCCCCTGTAGCAAGCACATCAAAGGATACTAGGCAGGGATCCCGCTGCCGGCACAGCTGCTCCCGGTCCAGCCGCCTCCCAGTGCTGAGCAGGCCGTCCTCAGAGTCCACCTGAATGGGGAGTGCCTGAGGCAGCTGCAAGATCTGGAAGGCAGCCCCCACATGCCCACGCCTCCCCTCCCAACCCAGTTCCTGGGACAGTTTCCCTATCACAGTGCCAGATGGCACTTCCTCTGTCACTTGGTATTTCACTGTCAGAGTGGCCACCTCCTGACAATCCCCTGAAAGGAACAAGTAGCCACCTGGCCCCAAGAACCCTAGCAGAAGTTGCAGAAGTGGCAACATGCTTACCGCCGAGTGGCCTAGACTCAGAAACTGCTAGAGCTCTTCAATGGTTGGACAAGTCTTCAGCTGGTTCCTGGATGGCTTGATTAGCCTGGATCCCCTGTCCCAGACCTGCTGGTACAACCTCTTCCCATAATTAGAAGACACTGGAACAAGCAGGATTCCCAAGCAAGGCCATCTTCGTGTGAATTGATATGTGAGGTCCAAAAACTGATGGAATGCTGGAGGATGCCCCTCCCTTACAGCAGCACCAGCTGGTCCACTTTAGCAGTGATGGCAAGCTCTGATCCAAGAGAGAGTTGACCTAGGAGGGCAGGATGTGGGGATCTGACTTCCAAACAGTTACTAGGCTGGGGAAACGGAGAAGCAGCTTTTTCCTATGGAAACCCCACCTACAGGAAAAGGGAGGGCTGTAAATTTCAATGCCAATTAGAGAAAGAGCATTTCCTGTGAGGCTGAGGGGCCTGTTGCTGAGGAGGATGAGGCCGGGACTCCAGGGACAGGCCAGATAGGAAGGTGCTGTCCATGCAGCAAGATAGCCACTAAGGGACAGAGCTGCTATGTAGCTGAGAACTTGACCTAGACTGCTTTCCCTCCTGGGCATGCCAGGCTCCCCATCAAGTCTCCTCTCTTCTTCATCTCCTTTTCAATTGCCTTTCTTCTGCCTTCTGCTCCTGTCTTCTTCCTACACTTGTTTATCTCTCAGCCTTGACGCTGACCTTCATGTTTGTCTCTGTGGGAAGTAGCTATGATTAATAGAACAGTCATGAGCAGTAAATGACCTGGGTTCAAATGTTGAGTTTGCAACTTACTAGCTGCATCATCTGGGATAAACCACTTAACCTCTCTGGGCCTCCATTACCTCATGTTCAGAGTTGGGATGGAAAGCAGAATACTTTTCCTCCCTACAGGAAGTTGTGAGGATTGAATGAAAGGATACATGAACTGCCTTTGCCTGAGCCTAGTTACAAATCACAAACAGTGGCATTGTGGGGAGGGTGTTGTAGTCAGTACAGCTCATGCCACGTGTGTCTGCCTGGGCTCTTGCCTTGGCCTTGGGGCAGTTCCTGCTCACATTGACCCATTAGGATTACCAGTGGCTCTGCCAGAAGCTATAAGGACCTGCTTGACCTGCCGGCAAGGCTCCCTTCCCCTTTCCCTTCCGGCCCTTCCTTGAGGTCCATTGTTCTTTGCATCTGGTCTAGCCTGAGTCCCTGTCTGGGGAACCCCCAGCCTCTGCTCCCAGGGAGAGCCTTTCTGTTTCCCTCTCCTGCTTTCCTCTCCCTTTCATCCCCTTCCCTCCCTTCCTCCCATTCTTCTCACCCCACTTTTGTTTATGAGACTCCCATGAAAAGCATCTTCATTGCTGCCCTCAACCCTGCCCCAGACTTAAGGTGAATCCTCTCTCCGGTTCATCTGTGTTTAGGGGAGGTCCAGGAAGGAGGAGAGTGGGAGGGCTGTTTGGGCATCCTTGTGGCTTCTCATTTCCTCCTCAGTATGTTGCCTCCAGCAGTCTCTCAAACTATGCCGCACTTGGAGGTTGATTCTGGAAGTCTGTAAAGTGTTTGAGACGGTAGAAATGAAGGCCAACTTTCCATAGATGAGTGTTTGCTGCTGAATCCTTGGGACTAGAGATGTCCCATTTGGACACAGTGATACCAGTCAAGTTGGCATGGAGGTTCATGATCATCAGGCCTGGGACAACTGAGGGTTAGCTACGTGCAATCCCTCCTCTTCCCTCTGCCCTTTCTTTTGTTTCATCCCAAATTCCTCTCCTGGAGCTTGCTCAGCCATCTCACTGAGCCCACTAAGCCATAAGGTCATCACCTATGGTACAGATTTGGGGACTGACAAACCCTCCCAGGCTCGGAGACACAGCACAGGTGACTTACCTCTCTGAGCCTCAGCTTCCTTCTCTGAGTGTGATTGTCACCCATCTCATGAGCTTATGGTAAGGATGGAAGAGATGATACGCATGGAGGACTGAGCTCCAGGCTTGAGGTTGGAAACTTCATGGAAATGTGAAGATGACCGTGTGTTTGTGCTTCCACTTTTTTTTTCTTCCTGGTTCAGAAATCATGTTTCCTATTTCTCCTTCACCTCAAAGTGCTGCCTATGCTACAAGGGCAGCAATGTGGCCCCCTCCGGGCTCAGAAGCACAGTGGGTGATCATTGCTCTCTGGTGACGGTGAGCCCATGTGATAGTTCTGCTGTCTGACCCTCACTCATCCTACTATGCACCAGGCAGTGAAGAGACAAGTGATCCCAAAGGGCTTACAGTGTAATGGGGGACAAGAGGGGTGTAAGGAAAATGGAAAAAAAAAAAGTGAGCCCAGTGCAGATGCTCTGGATTCAGACCTGGAGTCAGCAGCAGCTCCTCAAGGAGTATGCTCAGTGATTCTTGACGGACAGGAGGAGTTAACCAGGGCAAGGGGAGGGGCAGAGAGGGGCAAAGAAGAAGATTGAGCAAGGGCAAGCTTGCAGTGCTGCTGGAAGGTCCATGCGATACAGTAAGGAGGAGGAGGATGGGGTGGGTCATTGGATGACAGAGAGCTGTTAGGATCTGAAACTTGTTCTGCAGGCCACAGGAAAGTCCAAAGCAGAATAATGAGAACAGCAACGACCTGTCAGTCTTTGTCCGGAGTACTTCACCTGTGTCCTCTCAGGCCACCTGCAACAACCAAGCCATCAGGCTGAGGAAGCTAAGCACAGGAAACCTGTCCAAGATCCTGCAGATCTGCCCTCCAGAAAGTCCCTTCAGTTGTACTCTAGATGATGGATTGGAAGGCAACAGAGAGGAGGGAGGCCAGTTGAGAGTCCTTCAGGGGAGCCTGGATGCAGAAAATGTTTCCAGAATAGGAATGTTTCCAGAATGCCATCTGGTGGCCAAAGGCAGAGAAAAAGTCACAAAGGGGAAAGAGCCACCAAAAAGGGGAGGTTCTTAGAGCTGTAAAAAGATAACTGGGAAAACTATACATGAATGATAAGCTAAACTGGGCATGGTGGTGCATGAGTATAAACCCAGCACTTGGGAGGTAGAAACAGAGGGATCAGAAGTTCAAGTTACTAGCAAGTTGGAGGTCAGCCTGGGCTACATGTGAACCTGTCTCAAAACAATAGCAACAGGGCCTGGAGAAATGGCTCAGCAGTTAAAAGCACTGGCTGCTCTTGCAGAGGACCCAGGTTCAGCTCCCCAGCACCCACATGGTGCCTAACAACGTTCCCTAACTCCAGTCTCAGGGGATCTGATGTCCCTTTCTGTCTTCTGCAGGCATTGCATACATAAGTACACTTACATATATGCAGGTACAATGCTTATACACATGAAAAAATAAGTAATTAATTAAACAGCAGCTATAAAAGATAACCAGTGCCCAGAAGGAATGGAGTCATGATTTTACTTATATTCTTGAAAAGATGTTGCTATGTGCCAGGTGTGGTAATGCACACCCTTAATGCCAGTACTCAGGAGGCAGAGGCAGGTGGATATCTGTGAGTTCAAGGCCAGCCTGGTCTACACAGTGAATTCTAGGCCAGCTGGGGCTATGGAGAGATCCTGACTCCAAAAAAAAAAAAAAAGAAAGAAAAAATGTTGCTATGCATACATTGCAATGCAATATATAATAGTTATAATAAAACAATATAGGTATTTATGTATGCATATGTGTGTTGTGATCATGAATGCAAAAAAAAAAATGTGCTGAGCATGGTGACACACACCTTTAATCCCAGGACTCAGGAGGGAGAGGTAGGCAGATCTCTATGAGATTGAGGCCAGCCTGATTTACATAGTGAGTTCTAGGCCAGCTGGAAAAAAAAAAAAAAAATGGGCTCACAGGTCCTAAGAACTTGAATTTGAATTTGAATTTGAATTTCACATGTGATTTTTTGTTCCTTTGCTTTTGTTTTTTGTTTTTGAGACAAGGGTGTTTTTTTTTTGTTTGTTTGTTTTTGTTTTTTTGAAACAGGGTCTCCCTGTAGCCTCAGCTGTCCTGGAACTCACTATGTAGACCAGGCTGGCCTTGAACTCACAGAGATCCACCTGCCTCTGCCTCCTGAATGCTGGGATTAAAGGCGTGTGCCACCACACCTGGCGGAGACAAGCTTTTTAAAAATACTTGATTCATTATTTTTATTTTATGAGTATGCATGTATTGCCTGCATACATGTAAGTGTGTCAGATCCCCTGAAACTGGAATTATGGATGGCTGTTAGCTGCCATGCAGGTGCTGAGATGCGAACCTAGGTCTTCTGCAAGAACAGCCAGTGCTCTTAACTACTGAACCATCCCTCTAGCCCTTGAGACAAGGTCTTATTATGTAACTCAGGTTAACCTTGAACTAGCCATGTAACCATGGATAGTCTGGAGCTCCTAATCCTCCTGCCTCCACCTCCTGAATGTTGGGATCACAGGTGTATGCCACCATTCCCAGCTTCTTACATGTGGGTTTTATTGTTGCTGTGTTTGTTTTATTGACATTGGGGACATGAAACTAAGACACTTCTCTAAGATTCCAAAGGTAGAAAACAAGGCACCAGACTGTTTACAGGTGATTGCCTCTGGGGATGAGGTCTCCATTTAGTCATTTTCTTTCCTCCTCCTGGCTTCAGGGGGAAGCTGACCTTTGATAGCCACCTGAAGCCAGGAGGAAGATGACCTTTAATAGCCACCTGTCAAGGGATGAATGGAGCTGTCACTGGAATTTGCCTAGAAAGGTTTCATTTCCCTGTTTTGAAAACAGATTGGAAGGAGCAGAGGTAGTATCAGAAATACATTTGAAACAGCCAGGACAGCCTCTCTGAAGTCCAAGATGTTTTAAGAAGAGGGTAGATTACGGTTGACCAATTTACCCACCCCCAGCCTTGAAGTGAATCCTTGGCCACAGTGAGGAGCTAAAGGTTGAAGTGGGAAATGAGAAGGTAAGAAGGGTCTTTTCAAAACCCTTAGAGTCTTCAGGAACTTCCAGGGCTCACAACAGTAAGGTACCACTCAGCCTCCTGGAACACTCACAGGCCAGCTAGATAAAGGCTAAGATCATCTACCCACTACAGATGTGCTGCTCAGGTGAGCCAGATGGGCTGATTCTTTCTGAGTCTGCTCACTGAGGCCTGGCAGCATCATCCTCAGGATTATTCTTCTCATGAAGGTGGTTGGACCATCCAGACTCATCCTCATTTTGTAGCCAGGCCCTGTTGAAGTCAGAGCCAGAAATCTTGACTGGAGGACTCAGCTAGGTATTCTGGGCACTGGCTCCTGGCAGGGCACCTGGAGCTTCAGGTGACAAATGTCAACTCTTAC